ATCTCAGGTGTATATATATATTAACGGACACAAATATATATATATATATATATATATATATATATATATATATATATATATATATATATATAAGGTAGACTGATATGGAACAAGATTCACAAGAAGAATATTTTTGCTTGTAGCATGTGGTGAAAAACTCAAGTTCAGACCTAAATCTGCTTGAGAAACTTTGGGAAGACTTGTAAACATGCATGCCCAGATGTTTTCCATGCAGCCAGACAAACTATTTTGCAACAAAGTATAGGAAGAAAAACACCATCTCTGGATTTACACAGGCAGTAGAAACATAATGCAAAATTCTTACAGCTGTAAAGTCAGGATGTCTGTTCTCCAAGACTCTAGAGAGCTGAATATAAATGCACGGCAAACTTTTCAGATTTGTTTTACCAAAATACTCCTATAATGCAATTATGCACTACATAAAAGAAAAAAAAAAATCAATATAAATGTAAGCTTGTGGTTTTGTGGTTGTAACATTAGAAAGTTTAAAAGAGTGTGAAAATTCCCACAAGGCCCTAATAAATAATACATTCTTTTTTTATGACCAAGTTAAAAGTGGATACACAGGCAAAAAAAAAAGAAAAAAGAAAACCCACAAAACATCATGCCAGGCTGCACACTGACAAATTCACACTCAGAACTTCTTCCAGCAGAATAAAAGTAAATTATGAAGCTAAGCCTCCACAAGTCCTGACTTCATAGCGAATTCATTACCTGACATCCAGTTGTCTCTGGGCCACTTCTTTCTTCAGAGCATCGTGTTTGTCCTTCAACATGTCTGTGTTGCTTTCCAGCTCCTGGAGGATGCACCGACAAAATTAACCCCAGATCAGCGGAGAGGATCCAGCAGAAGTCAGATTTTAGAAGCAGGTTGTTACGGCTTCTCTTTATTCAGGGTGGGCCATAAGTTTCCATACATAGGAGAATGCAAAATGTATATTTCTTTTATATTTCAGATACCCAAGAAGATGCGTTTGGAAAAAGAGCAAAGAATTGAAGTTATACTGATGGCTGAATCGGGAAGCAGTCACATGGTTGCACGAAACTTTAACAGAAAACATGGAACATGAGCATCACACACGACACTGTGGCAAAACTTTTGCAAGTTTCAGAAAACTTTCAATTAGCCATATTGGATGGTTTTGGTGCAAGGAATAATTAAGAAATTAAATTAATCTTTCATCCTCAAACTACAAAATCAAAAAAACTTCCTTATAAAAATAGCTAAATACACAATGTGCTCTCAACAAACGTAGAGAAATGCCTGATTAATAATGTATTTTTTTACTTTAAAAGTAGTGCACACAATTCGCATAAACCGTCGGGGGTCATATAAACAAGGTAGATATGCAACTGCTTTTATCTACGAGAAGGAAATGGGTTTCGTGGCCATTTTTTTGGCTCCAAATTTGTAATAAACAAAAATCAGCCATTAGTTGAGCAGCAGCAACCCAGAGAGACACATTTGGAATAATCTGAAATCGCAAAATCAGTAAAAAAAAGAAAAAAAAAGGGGTGCAGCGGTTTATCAAGCTGTTCAAAGCTCAAACGCTACTCTTCAAAAGCAAAATCTACAAAATAGATATTTTGATGTAGCATTTTCAGAGTTACTTAAGGGGCTTTGGTCCAGTCGTGCAAATCCAATCGTATTTTATTCAGCAAAGTGGATGTCTTTGTTGCTGCTAATGTAGGGTGGCTTTGCTAGATTTGACAAATTCGCACAACATTATGAGTGAAGAGACTAAATTATAGGGATTTAACGTGGCCTGTGGCATTAGAGTTCTTCACACAAAGCACAACTTTCACCTAATGCTGAAGAGCAGCACAATGAGCCTATGAGTTAATGTCTTCCCCTCCCCTCTTAATTAAACAAAGATAATGATGCATAATAGATATTTACTGTACCCTCCACAATAATTGGCACCCCTGGTGAAGATTTTTCAACAGCCTTCAGATAAATCTTTTATTAAGGCGGTCTAATCACACACTTAAAAAATGGAGAGAGAGAAGTCAACCTTTGATTTTTGTACATTTATTCATTAGTTTCAACATGCAAGAGTAGCATGCCATATCTGAATGGATTTCATCATACGCTTTGGATTAATATTCTGTTGAAAAACATCTTGATGTGGTATTTCAAGTACATTTCGCCGGGGCCGGTTTGGAGTTACGCTCCTGCGATTAAACACAATGTTTTTACACATTCCCACAGCATAAACCTTTACAAGCCTTGGGATGGAGAATATATATTTTTTCTTGTAAAAAAAAATTCCACAAAGTTCACAAAGGATTAGTCTCAGTTGGAGGATTAAAGCAAAACTTATATTTATCCTCTGTTAAAACTGCCATCACAGCTGTAATCCTCGCCTCTGAAACCAAGTCCAGGATGGTGCAGTGATGAACTTACAGCAGGTTGTGTTTGAATTTCTCTCTCTCGATGCCGCTTCTCTTCCCGGAGACTGCATGGCGGTGAGGAGGAGCAAGATAAGGCGATGGGGGGGGAGGAAGGAGGGCAGGGACGTAGTTAACGGAGACAGAGAGAGAAACCATGTTTCAGTTCCCGATTCAACGGAAAGAGGAATGCACAAGAACTTGCGAGCGTTTTTTTTTTTAGAATTTGACTAATATGGATTTTCTTGTAAATTAGCCTCCCACTGAGACAAATAAGAAGAAAAGTATTTTTAGGCTCTACTGGTGAAGACTCAGGTAGCATACAAATGGCTGAGAGTACACACAACAATCTAGATCTCAGAGAAGCACATAAATCTTGGCCACACGCTATGAATGGGCCTATGAGAACATAATTTCTATGAATTTTTCATCTCCCCGAGGCAGATGCTTTTTGAGCAGTCGATTAAAGTTTGTATGAAATAATTTCAAGTCAGCTTTGTCATTATGAAAAACCTTACAACAGCACATACTGTACAGCTGCACATTTCACAAGGCAAATGATATTAATCTTCCTGACAAGCTGAAATATTGGGTATTAACTGATACAGAGAAAACTGCAGGAATGCTGCAATGTGGGACTGGAGGATGGAGGGGTGAGCGAAGAGGGGCGGGAGGAGAAGAAGAAGTGCTGAATTCCTGTGGGTCTGTATGAGTAGAGATAAAAAAAAATATGATTCTTCTTTTAAAAAAAGGAGGAAAAAAAAAGAGGGGGCATTTTCATGGTGAGCGTCTGCTTGTCATGTGCGGACTGATAGCTGTGCGGAAAAGAGGCGAAAGAGGAAAACAAGTCAAAGAGAAGTCAGGAAGAGGGGGAGATAGAAGGGCTTCAGCTGGAACCAGGGGGGAAGCAGATACCGAGGACACAAGAGAGCTCACTGGTGGAGAAAGAAGTCATGAATAACATGCTCTCTGATATTACAGAAGACGCAGAGCAAGTGGTTTTTATTTAATATTTAAATTACTGCCGAGCCACCGACTCAGGCAAACCACAGCCTCCTTCTGATCACATCTTTAGCAAACAGACACTTCTACCCAGCGGGAACAGTTTAACGATGTAGATGCAACACAGAGGGAATCGTAAAGCGAGAATGATAATTAAATAAATGTTCGTCAGCCACACGTCATCTGCCATCTTCTTCTCTTGATTATGTTTGTAATTTTGCTTCCTCTCCACACTTTAAGTAGAAAAAAACCCTTTAGAATAATGCCAAGTCAATGATCAATGTAATAATCCTGACTTTTAAAAGTGTGTATATATATATATATATTTCAATGTATTGGATTTTGTGTGGCTGAGTGACATGCTTACCCACGTTTATATCTGACAAAAAAAATTTGTAAAACACGATCAACTAATGATTATTAGCACAACATTTTCTGTAAAAAGCTGTAAAAAGTAAAGAGCTTATGATAGAATTACATAACTGCGAACCATATTTAACATTTTTATTAGTAAAACGTCACAAGCTACACATTCTTTCTCCTACACGTCAAAAGTATGTGCCATTTTGTGTCGATTCATTGTATAAATTCCAAATAATTTACGTGGATGTTCATGTTTTTGCTATGACAAAATCTGGAAGCGCCGTGTATTTTCATTCCACTGTGACAGAACCAAACAATTGCCCAACATTTTCCCATATACAACCCCTAACGTGCGATTACGAGCACATGTTGACTGTTTAAGGGTCAGAAGCCAAGATATTTGGCAGAAAATATTCTGGAAAGCCCGGGGTATGTTATCATGTTGCCTAGTAATTTTCCGCGAACCTCCCTTTGACACTTCACAAAGTGAAGTTTGTGTACAGAAATACTGGACCAAGTGGTTCTTTTCCATAACTTTGGGTGTGTTTGACCTTTCAGAGGGACTCTTGGAAGAGTCAGGGAGGAAGAAAGAAAAAAAACTGCAGCAATAAGGAGGAAAATTTGTAGAGATGAGGAAAAGGGCTCTAGAGAACTAAAGTAAAAAGATGTTGGAGAAGGATATGATGGTGCTGAGAACCCGGACTAGCACTGGAACAAACTGGAACAAGTTCGCTGGAAATCTCCTACAAGGTGATTAATAAAAACAATCTTCAGAAAATATTGATTCTTTTGTTTTTCTTGAGTGAATAGGAATGGTCTAACTGTCAGAAGAAGAAAAAAAGCGACACTTCTATGAATATTTGTGTGTGTCCAATTCTCTTTCACCTTCACCTCCATCATAAGTCAATAAAATGATGCTGCCTCATGAAGCTCACCTCAGTGTTTGGTCCCTAGTTACAGCTGTGTGCGTGTGTGTGTGTGTGTCTCTCAATGTGCACGTAAGCTTTCCTACCACACATAACTTCCTCCTCCAGCACTCTAATTTCACTTCTGTCTTCTGTTTCGCCCCTTGTGTTCCTCTCAGGTGTCTCCAGTTTGCATTTGTTCAAGTTTCCATTTGTGATGTGTGCATTTTATGCGCAGTGGCTGCACGTGCGTGTAAATGCACACACACACGCACCCGTCTTACCGCTGCAACCCGTGCCGTGCTGCATGCTCTCTGTCCTCAGCAGCTCGCAGTTCATTGTGCGCCTGCAGGAGCTGTCGCCTCAGTTTGCTGACCTCACCATCGGGCTCCTCAGGGGGGCCCCACTGCTCTTCCGGGCTCCGTACTTCTACCTGGAGCCGCTCCAGCTCAGCCTGATGCCTCTTTGCCTCTCCCAAAAGCTGCATCTCAGAACTCTGCGCACTGCAGAAGAGCAGAATAAAAAAAACAGGGGGGGGGAAAAAATGCATTACATCACATAGAGCCGTATAATTCTGTTCTAATTCTTCCACAGGAAGAAAACTGAGGACAAGCATGGACTACTTCTTGCAGATATTCGCTGGAAAAAAATATTACCCCAGTGTTGCTTTAATTTCCTTCAAGAAAGCATGCTAATTGGGCTTCCATGCCTGGTTATACTCTAATAATTACAACTGAAACACTAATGTAGTATTAAATAACTTAGTAATTCTCTCATTAAAACTAAACCTTAATGTAACGCAACATTCTATAAACAGGAAAATCTTTTTACAGCAAATTATTGCGGTTCAGTTTTCAAGTCTATCCAAAGTCACACTTAATTGGCACAACGCAGCGGGGAACGCAGCAAATTTACAAAGTTATATCTTTTTTTTCTATTTATAAAAGAAGGGAAATTTTTTATACAGACTTGACATTTTCAACAAGGGATCAGAATAAGTCAGGATATCGCAATGTATTTTTGTAAAATAGATTAATTCATCCATAATTGTCTCAATTAGGATTTGCAGTTACGTTATCATAGGTTCAACTCAGAACATGAGCAAAAGACAAACCTCTTATGAAGCCTTAGAAGCAATTTAAATGACTTGTGCAGACAAATATTGAATCCAATATGAGACAAAAATGAAACAACAACAAACCTCTTTAACGTATCCTTTAGTCGCTCGAAGCCATTTTTCACCTTTGTGAATGTAGCTTGGCTAATTTTGCCCGAGGACAACATCTGAAAAAACAGAAATGGTGATCAGAAACTTGAAAAGCAGTTTTTCTTTAATGTAGAATATACAGTAATATTCAGAAAGTTAGAACGTGTTCCGATAAGCTCATTAAGCTCATCTTTCCGTAATAAAAATGCAGTTTTTTTTTATATTGTATTTCAATTTTAAATATTGTGTTTCCTTTAGCCGAAGGTAAAAAATGATCACAGTTAGCATAAGTAAAAGGTTGAAAACACCAGTGAGTCCGACTAATCTGAATGAGTTTCACTTAGTTAATAGAAATACTGAACTAAAAGAACTTTTCAAAAATATTCTAATTTACTAATAATGACTGGAATCACGGGGTCAACGCTCGTGTGTTGTTGACATTTGATCTGTTTCTGAATAGGAAGTACATCTGATCAAATGCTTCTGTGTCTCACTAATGGAGCAGCTGTTCTGTTCCCCATAAAAAGTACCCTGAAGTTTAGAATGTATGTCTATAGCAGTTTATTTTCCTATATTAACCCATCTAATCCAGTCTTTTCTATGATGTGCTGGTTCCAACAGATGGTCAATCAGCCTGGAGAAACGGACGCCAATTTAAAAGTATGATTGAACTGGAATGAAATGCATAAATCTGAACTTAATATGGGCCAAATTGGGTTATATATTTTTTTGAACAGTCATTTAAAGTGCCCTGAAGTAACATTTATAGCAAATCTGCACCACGTGCATAAACAGAAAAAAGAAATACAAAAAGGAAGAAGAGTATTAAATCTGAGGAACACATTCAAAGTAAAAAAAAAAAAGAAAACTGCTATGGTTATTGTGTTTGAATCTTCCTGAGTGTTTTTGTTGAGTCATGTTTCATTACACAAATTCCTTGTCTTTGCAAAAGAAATAATAATAAAAAAAGACACAAATAAAATGCTTACAGCTCAAAAGTCTAATGTTTGAGGGAGAATCAAGTGTTAGAAGTGAACAACTGAACTACTTTAGTTTCCGTGGCTTCAGATTGATTAAACGTTTTAACTTTTTAAACAAAAGGAAGTTCAGTTTTTGCTCCAATACACAGGAATTTTTGTTTTAAGAGAAAATATTTCATATATTGTCTGGACTCCTCAGAGTAGAATGAGTTTGATATAAAAAAAAAACAATAAAAAAAAAACAGAAGCCTTTTTAAAAGGATTTAGAGCAAGTGGAGGCAAATAAACTTATTTTTTTACAGTCAATGACTGGAAGAAAAGAAAATTGAGCAGATCTAACTGAAGAGCTTTCATTGAAAATGGGCCACAGGTAATGATTAGAACACATTATTCAAGATCACAAGCACAATAGCTGAGTGATTGAAGGATTAAAACAAAAACAAAAAAAGAAGAACTAGGACAAAGAAAAAAAAAAGAAGCAAAGTCTTGCACAAATATCAACTGGCAAACATTATAGTTGAAATTATCTCCAGGAGTTGTGAATTTTCTCTCCTTGCAACAGGAGCTTTGAGGGTGCGAAACAGAGATAGAAACAAAGGACAGGTGGCGTTCCTCTCTTATCTTTAGAGCCAGGTTGGTGGAGGGGGCGAGTAATGAAGGATAGCCTCGCCTGTATCGCACAGCTGCAGAGCTGAGGATATCGCCGGTGGGACGGCGTAGTAAGTTTTCCCAAACGGTACACACCGGCGCGCCAATCATATATATACGCCCTCATGGGCTCGTATCTCGCCCCAACTTTAAGAATCGAGGATGGATGGGCATGTCTTAAGATTCACCCCACATAAATTGTTCACCTCTGTTGTCATAAGCACTCGCGATGCTCCAAGGACTGAAAGGACAGAGATATAAATTGGACGGCTGATACGGGTCGTTAACACGATTTGTTTAAATTTTTTTTTTTTTTTTTTTTGCTTTCATGCAATCACCGAAGGTCAAAAGACTACAAAAGATGACCTTATGTCTCAAAATGTACAAACTCCGAAAGTGGAAGTTTGGTAATAACAAAAGATATATATATAACTGATCATTTTTAGAGTCCTGTTA